GGCGTTTTTTTTTTTGTCTGGAATAAAAACCCAGAACAAGTGGGGTTTCTAGAGAAGTTTTTTAGCTGTAAAAACGCTTGAACGCTGAAAAATGCGCCAAAACGCCGCAAGCCGGCGTTTGTGGACTTTTTTGACCAAAAAAAAAAAAAAGCTAAGAAACACAAAAAAAGTGGTAAAACACCACTAAACGCTAATGCAAAAAAAAACGTAAAAAAGCTGAAATACTCAAATTTTTAACGTGACTTTACACCAGCGTTCTCAAAACGCCCCCCCAGTGTGCATAGAGCCTTCTGCCAACTGAGACGCAGCTGCTGCTCCCCATTTAATAGCCATGCGGTGCACGGCCCAGAATGCAGACAGCGTATATTTGGGGGGGGGGGCGGCACGTACCTGCACCACTGTCAGATTGGGAGCAGCAGCTGTGCCATGAAGTTGATGCTTCCCAGCTGGCATGACATGAATAGGATTGCCTGCATGGGGATTCACAGGAAACCTCTGCATCTCTGTGTGGCAAAAAACACAGCCCTCGCACAGGTGAAAGGTCATGTGAACAAGGCCTTACGTTGGTCCAGTGTGGATCAATGAGAGCATGCATAAGCCATACCCATGGGATCCCTGTGGAAGCTGGAAATCACTGGCTTGCATTTTTCTCAATGAATGCAATACACTCTGATTGGATGTGGCACGGGGACATCACGTCGTGGCACAGTGACATCACAAACTTCACCTCGTTCAATCAGAGAACACTTTGCAAGACATTCAGTCAATGGCGCCCATGATGAATGGGCAGCTGCTTGGCCCAGGATGTGGAAGATGGCGGAGACTTCTACAGTGACTATCCACATCCACAGGTATGGCACATACATGCTTATATTAGCCCAAGTTGGACCAATGTAGCCAAGCTAAAAAAAAATGATTACGCCCGGGGGGGCAGGGTGAAACGTGTCAGGGGACGTGGCTTGGTCAGTTGCTGAGGCTGCTTTCAATTATAAACGGCTTTGCATGGTGTGCAGCAACAGAAACTTTTCTTATGCTCCTACAGTAGGCACGGAGTTAGGATGGACTCCCTTCTAGCCTGCAACCAACGTGATTCATTAAATATGGCACCTGAGGGGAGACCCCAAGTTTCCCCAGGTCCACATGAAGAAAAAAAAACTTGGCAATTTAAGGTCAACAGAGATGCCTCCAGCATGAAGTTAGAGGGAGAGCTGGCTTCATTGGGGAGAATCTTTGGAACTCGGGAGGGGTTTGGTGGAAAGGTCTGGAAATCTTACACCAGGACACCAATGTAGCAACATGAGAGGTAATAAAGTGCATTAGACAGGATACCTAGAGTCTTGCTAACCATATTAATTGGCATGTGGAAAGATGGTTCAAACAGAGGGTATAGGAGCACCGCGCGCTTCCGCCAACAATGTCAAGAAAAGAGAACTAGTTACCCCGTATGATTGTCAACACAATATAGGTACATTGGGAATTTTTTTCACCAACCAAGTAGGTCGGCCCTACTAACCGGTAATATGAAAGGACTTCCCCCTAGGGGTTATAGCTTCATGTTTACTATGAACGTCGTTTCCCTCTGCTTCTATGACATCATAAGGACAGAAGGCACCGAACAAAAAAATTCTGGCTGAAACCCTATCCTTATGTATATGAAGTCTGATTGGATCTTCCCAAAGACAAATCTTAAATAAAACACCAGAATGTTTACCACGCATTGTAGAACCACAGCTCTCATCGTCCCTTTGCAGAAAAGGATGCTGGGAGCTGGGGTTCAACAGCAGCCGGGGGAGGGGGACTAACAAGCTACCTTCCCCCTGAGCAGGAAGAAAATGCAAGTAAAGGGAGCTGAACTTGGACATCTGTCATACTCTTGACAGCTTTTGGTTTCTGGCTGGTTTCCCCCATTTACGCTCTAGTTGTGTTTGGCCCTGCCCCCCTTCAAATATGACTTCCAACGGCGGACGAAGTCCCTAAATATTGGCGAGCCATCCATACTGGCGAGGAGCTGAAGCTGATTGATATGGGTGGTGTGATAGTCCCAACGGGCAAGGTTGGGGGCAGTGCCTAGCATGAAGTGCCTCAAGTCATAGATACTTCCTGAACCTGTGTCATAAAGAGGCAACATGGCGCGGAGCGACTCCATTCCCCGCTCGTATAGCAGCCGCGCCTCTTTCCCCTGCTTTTCCCCAGCAGTTTCTTTAAGATCGTAGAGGCCGAGCAGAGCATAAATGAAGCCGTTCAGCACAAAAGAGCTAGGCGTTGTTGGGTATTCCTCATACCAGTCGTATTTGTTCATAAAGACCGCTTTCACCCCATGCTTCTCTGAAGGCAATTTGAATGGAGCCGTTGCTCTGAGTGCCGAGTCTAGATACGCCTGCTCCTTAGTCAGCAGGTAGGCACGGACCAAGGTCGATATTGCCTGCCCCTGTGCCATGGCAGAGTACCATCCTGGTTCCAGAGCCTTAAAGCCCTCTCCTAGCTTTCTAGTCACCATAATTGGCCAGCCACCTTTGGTGTCCTGATTCCTCACCAGCCAATCGCTGGCGGCAAAGAAAGCAGCTGTGTGGGCAGTGGTGGAGATGGTGGCGTTATCCAGGAAACCGCTGCCCTTCACCACAAGGCGGACAACCTTCTTCGGCATGATCTTCGTTTGACGCACGGCCTTGGTATTGGACAGTCCTACTCCCTTCTTCAAGTCTGTCAACAAATCACGAGTCAACGTGCTCCAGGCTGTCCGCGGTCCCACCCCATAATAAACATCGTGGTTATGGAAAGCAATGAGCTGTGTATTGGTCACGTAGTGTATGGTGAACAGCTGGTTCTTCTCAGTGGTCTCCAGCACCACAGAAATGCTGCCATTAGTCAAGAACTTCAAGTCAAGGGACAAAATGAAGTCTCTGGTGTTACCCAAAGTTAATGATGCTCCCTCTGAATTTTCTGTAAGAAAAAGCAAAAAAAGGAATAAACAAAGGATTTGTCAAGGCAACAAATTCAATACAATAAACTGATCTGTACAGGGGCTCCACAAAAAGGAAGAGGAACCGCTCACCATATTAAAAGTTTCGGAAGAATTGATTGAATTATCCAATAGACTACTCCATCCGATGTACAAACTACTAACGCATTTCACTTGCTTAGGAACTTACTTACAGTGAAGGAAATAAGTATTTGACCCCTGCTGATGTTGAATGTTCATCCCTCACAAAGAAATGATCGGTCTAAACATCGAATGTTCAGTGTATTGTAAAACAGAGACAGAATACAACAACAAATTCAGCAGAAATGCGTCTAACAAATGATGACTGATCTGCATGTTCATGAGGGAAAGAAGGATTTGATCCCCTATCATTCAGCAGGATTTCTGGCTACCAGGTGTCTTTCATACAGGTAAAAAGCTGAGATTAGAAGCAGTCTCTTAAATGGAGTGCTGCTAATCTCACTTTGTTACCTGTATAAAAGACACCTGTCCACAGGAGCAATCAATCAGATTCCAAACTCTCCACCATGGCAAAGACCAAAGAGCTGTCCAAGGAGGTCAGGGACAAGATTGTAGACCTACACAAGGCTGGACTAGGCTACCAAACTATGGCCAAGCAGCTTGGTGAGAAGGTGACAACAGTTGGTGCAATCATTCACAAATGGAAAGAAACACAAAACAAGTGTCAGTCTCCCTAGGTCTGGTGCACCATGCAAGATCTCACACTCGTGGAGTGTCATGATCATGAGAACAGTGAGGAACAGGGGCGGACTGACCACTCATGGGGCCCCTGGGCAATAGGGGATCATGGGGCCCCTGTGTCCTTGCCCAAACTCAAAAAAGCCTATGAAAAAGGTACCAGGGGCATCTCATGGGGCCCCCTACTGACCCCGGGCCCTCGGGTAGTGCCTGAGTTTCCAAATGGTCAGTTCGCCCCTGGTGAGGAATCATGCCAGAACTACACGTGAGGATCTTGTCAATGATCTCCAGGCAGCTGGGACCACAGTCACCAAGAAAACAATTGGTAACACACTACGCCGACAAAGACTGAAATCCTGCAGTGCCCGCAAGGTCCCTCTGCTCTAGAAAGCACATGTCCAGGCCTGGCTGAAGTCTGCCACTGAACATCTGAATGATGCAGAGGAGGACTGGTGGGAAGTGTTGTGGTCAGATGAGACCAAAATCCAGCTCTTTGGCATCAACTCAACTCGCCGTATTTGGAGGAGGAGGAGGAATGTTGCCTATAACCCCAAGAAAACCATCCCAACTGTGAAACATGGTGGTGGAAACATTCTGTTTTGGGAGTGTTCTTCTGCTAAGGGGACAGGACAACTGCACTGCATCAAAGGGACGATGGACGGGGCAATGTACCGTCAAATCTTGGGTGAGAACCTTCTTCCCTCAGCCAGGGCATTGAAAATGGGTCGTGGATGGGTGTTCCAGCATGACAATGACCTAAAAAAAAAACATATCCAAGGCAACAAAGGAGCGGCTCAAGAAGAAGCACTTTAAGGTCCTGGAGTGGCCTAGCCAGTTTCCAGACCTTCATCCGATTGAAAATCTGTGGAGAGAGCTGAAAGTTCGAGTTGCCAAACATCAGCCACCAAACCTTAATGACTTGGAGAGGATCTGCCAAGAGGAGTGGGACAAAATCCCTCCTGAGATGTGTGCGAACCTGGGGGCCAACTCCAGGAAACATCTGACCTCTGTGATTGCCAACAAGGGATTTGCCACCAAGTACTAAGTCATGTTTTGTGAAGGGGATCAAATCCTTATTTCCTTCATGAACATGCAGATCAGTCATCATTTGTTAGACATGTACTGTGAGAGCTGTGATTGGTCACAGCTCGTCACATGGTACAAGGACTGTTTTGAATAGTCCTGTACCATGTGGTCTCTGTGATCATTCACAGATTTCACAAGTAGTAAGCAATGATGTCAGGAAGTCACATCTTGTTTGCTACTGTTCATGTGATCACCGATTGGCCAATCAGGGATCACATGAATCGGGACCTCACACTCGGTCCCGTACAGTGATTGGGGAGCGCGTGCACAGGGTGAAATGTCCACTCGCTCCGGCAGTGCTGCATCCCACGTACAAACAGCCGGACAGGAGAACTGCCGGAGCGAGTGGACGTTTCTAAACATCCCCCCGCATCCATTGCCTGTGCGTGCTCCCTGAGAGCGCGCGGCACCACGATTGCTGCACGCTGTGCCCTCCGAAGAACAACCTTTCATTCATCCACCCATCCTCCATTCAGAGAGCACTTTTTTTTTAATGGAATTTATAGTACAGTCTCCATGAATCCATCAATGAAAAGTGCTCTGTAACTTGGAGGAGGAGGATCTTTCATTCATTCACCCATCCTCCATTCACAGAGCACTTTTCATTGATGGATTCATAGAGACTGGAGGATGGGTGGATGAATGAAAGATCCTCCTCCTCCAAGTTACAGAGCACTTTTCATTGATGGAAACTATAGTGCAGCTACTATGAATAGAGGAGGACTTTGACGACTCTCTGTAATATAAATGAATATTAGAGGACGCCAATCTGAGTGTAGTAATGGACGAAAACTTTAATGAATAAAAGTGGCAACTCACATGAAGCAGTAAAAATGAGTGGATATCACAACTGTGTCGTCAGCGGCTGGAACCTCTGCACACAGGTATGGAAGATATGGTCCAGGAGAGCAGAGACAAACGGAAGGGACGTCCACGCTGAGGCTTGAAAAAGGAGAGCTGAGCAACTCCGAAACGCGTAGCCACTTTCGGCCGGCTCTGCATTCCATAGCCTGGTTTTTGTCCTGGCCAGCAGTGGTGCCCCCCCATCTCCTGGAGCAAATCTACCATACTTGTGTGCAGAGTTTCCAGCACACTTTTACTGCTTCATGTGAGTTGGCAACTTTGCTTTTACACATAAAAGTTTTTGCGCACGACTACACTCAGATCAGCGCCCTCCGGAGCTTCTCCGAGAAGCTGCTACTGTGTTGGCCCTTAATGGACATTATTGGACTATCTCCCCCTCTGCCGTTATTGGACTATATAGCGTTCATTTCACCTACGCACCATTTTGTTTTTGTTTGAATACTCTTGACGAGTGCCCATGACAGGTCCAGCGACTGTATTAATGCTGTGGGGGAGGGGGGGTTACTACAGCTTCTGCACCTGTCATAGGAATGAGGGGGTGGCACTGATTTTGAAAGCAGTTCCTGCGATTTCAGGTGCGACTTGCCCAGACCTCTGTGCATGAAGTCCCAGAGATGTCCTCAAAGTTGGACCTGAAGTCGCACTGACACGACACTGTGTGACTTCAAGCGCTCCCCCTAAACTGTCTTGAGCCCTCCAAAGGTCCTGAGTCCCACCATTAATTTCCTGGCCTCCCCCCCCCCTTTAACTGTTCTGAGCCCTCCATTACTTTCCTGAGCTCCTCATCCCCCCCCCCCCAAATCCAGCACACCTATGCCTCCAATATCACCCCCCTCATCAGCACACCCTTGCCTCCAATTCCCTCATCCAGCCTCATCCAGTACACCTATGCCTCCAATTCCCTACCCCCCTCATCCAGCACACCTATGCCTCCAATTCCCTCATGCAGCCTCATGAACGCCGGGGGCCAGGGAAAGCGGGGCTAGTGAACGCCGGGGCCAGGGAAAGCGGGCCTAGTGAACGCCGGGCAGAGCGGGACTAGTGAACGCCGGGCAGAGCGGGACTAGTGAACGCCGGGCAGAGCGGGACTAGTGAACGCCGGGGAGAGCGGGCCTAGTGAGTGCCGGATTCAGGAAGAGGAGATATAGGGAATGCTGGGTCCGGGGAGAGCGGATATAGTGAATGCGGGGTCCGGGGAGAGCGGATATAGTGAATGCGGGGTCCGGGGAGAGCGGATATAGTGAGTGCGGGGTCCGGGGAGAGCGGATATAGTGAATGCGGGGTCCGGGGAGAGCGGATATAGTGAATGCAGGGTCCGGGGAGAGCGGATATAGTGAGTGCGGGGTCCGGGGAGAGCGGATATAGTGAGTGCGGGGTCCGGGGAGAGCGGATATAGTGAGTGCGGGCTCCGGGGAGAGCGGATATAGTGAATGCGGGTCCCGGGAGAGCGGATATAGTGAATGCGGGGTCCGGGGGAGAGCGGATATAGTGAATGCGGGGTCCGGGGAGAGAGGTTATAGTGAATGCGGGGTCCGGGGAGAGCGGATATAGTGAGTGCGGGGTCCGGGGAGAGCGGATATAGTGAGTGCGGGGTCCGGGGAGAGCGGATATAGTGAGTGCGGGGTCCGGGGAGAGCGGATATAGTGAGTGCGGGGTCCGGGGAGAGCGGATATAGTGAATGCGGGGTCCGGGGAGAGAGGTTATAGTGAATGCGGGGTCCGGGGAGAGCGGATATAGTGAATGCGGGGTCCGGGGAGAGCGGATATAGTGAATGCGGGGTCCGGGGAGAGCGGATATAGTGAATGCGGGGTCCGGGGAGAGCGGATATAGTGAATGCGGGGTCCGGGGAGAGGGGATATAGTGAATGCGGGGTCCGGGGAGAGGGGATATAGTGAATGCGGGGTCCGGGGGAGAGGGGATATAGGGAATGCGGGGTCCGGGGAGAGCGGATATAGTGAATGCTGGGTCCGGGGAGAGCGGATATAGTGAATGCTGGGTCCGGGGAGAGCGGATATAGTGAATGCTGGGTCCGGGGAGAGCGGATATAGTGAATGCTGGGTCCGGGGAGAGCGGATATAGTGAATGCGGGGTCCGGGGAGAGCGGATATAGTGAATGCGGGGTCCGGGGAGAGCGGATATAGTGAATGCGGGGTCCGGGGTTTAGTAACACTTGAAAATTTTCAGAATAATGATGGGTTGGAGACTAAACCATTTTCTTTTAGCGAGGGATAGGAAAACAAAAACAAATTAAAAACAAAAACCCTCAATTGCAACCAGTTAAGTTTCTCATCAGTAAAGTTTATGGAGCATTAAATATAACGCCGCGCCATTTCACACCATCTGCTTCTGCTTCTCTAACAAGCTTTTACAGTACCCAGGGCCCGCTAATCAATACCCATTAGGATTAAGGAGTCAATCACTTTTCAGGAGACAATGAAGTCACTTTTGTCATCACCTTCTGATAAGCCCCCCAGGAGGTCCTGTTGGGAGGACAGCCCTTGGACTGCGCTAATTAATGCGAGGAAGACGCATCTCGGGGCTGACAAATCTCGCTGTCACTAACCAGTGAGAGGAAAGCACGCGGCTCTGCTTCTAGGCAGGAATCAGAGGAAATGTCAATGTATACAGAGAGCTCTGGAGGAAAAACGAAAAAACTAAACAAGAAAAAAAAAACAAACAGCTCAGCCCTGTGCTAAGTATACGGTACAAAATTCCCTCCATGGTGATCTGCACCGCACTGCTACCAAGCTGGCCCGAGGCCTGGAGAAGTCACATGCTGCAAGGGGGGGGGGGGGGGGTTTACCTGGGTCATCAAAACACCTCAAACCCCCCAACAGTGTGGTCAGTCCTCCCCCACCCAGACTCAGAAAATGCCGCAATGAAAGCGCATCTAGCCTCAGGTTTTAGTTTTTGCAACATACTGGGGAGGATTTACTAACATGGAGAGTGCAAACTGGTGCAGCTGTGCATGGGAGCCAATCAGCTTCTACCTTCAGCTTGTTCAGTAACACCCCCATCACATCAATCCTGACCTCACTGTAAGTCACACGATTTCAAAGTTGGGATGTCATTGCGATTTGCAAGACATCGGACACAGAGGTCTATAAAAATCACACCAAAAGTAGTGCATGTGCTACTTTAGAGATCGGTGCAGCTCCTACCAAGTTCCCCCACATTCACTACATCCGCTCTCCCCGGACCCCGCGTTCACTACATCCGCTCTCCCCGGACCCCGCGTTCACTACATCCGCTCTCCCCGGACCCCGCGTTCACTACATCCGCTCTCCTCGGACCCCGCGTTCGGAATATCCGCTCTCCCCGGACCCCGCATTCACTATGTCCGTTCTCCCCGGACCCCGCATTCACTATATCCGCTCTCCCCGGACCCCGCATTCACTGTATCCGCTCTCCCCGGACCCCGCACTCACTATATCCGCTCTCCCCGGACCCCGCACTCACTATATCCGCTCTCCCCGGACCCCACACTCACTATATCCGCTCTCCCCGGACCCCGCATTCACTATATCCGCTGTCCCCGGACCCCGCATTCACTATATCCGCTCTCCCCGGACCCCGCATTCACTATATCCGCTCTCCCCGGACCCCGCATTCACTATATCCGCTCTCCCCGGACCCCGCATTCACTATATCCGCTCTCCCAGGACCCCGCATTCACTATATCCGCTCTCCCCGGACCCCGCATTCACTATATCCGCTCTCCCCGGACCCCGCATTCACTATATTCGCTCTCCCCGGACCCCGCATTCACTATATCCGCTCTCCCCGGACCCCGCATTCACTATATCCGCTCTCCCCGGACCCTGCATTCACTATATCCGCTCTCCCCGGACCCTGCATTCACTATATCCGCTCTCCCCGGACCCCGCATTCACTATATCCGCTCTCCCCGGACCCTGCATTCACTATATCCGCTCTCCCCGGACCCTGCATTCACTATATCCGCTCTCCCCGGACCCCGCATTCACTATATCCGCTCTCCCCGGACCCCGCATTCACTATATCCGCTCTCCCCGGACCCTGCATTCACTATATCCGCTCTCCTCGGACCCCGGATAAAGGCAAGCAAAGGGCCGCAGTTTGGAGACCACTGCTCTAGGAAATAGAGAGTACATGTAGCCCTTTGTCCCATCTTCCTATGTGCTGTATAAGGCTAGCTTTGAGGTTTGATCCCCCTTTCCCCCCCCTCCATGGCCATCCAACAACGCAGCTAGCAAAGAGACAAAAAGAAAAAATGCTTCTCCCAGCATTTGCCCGCCTGAAATATTTTCTCTGACCAGTTACCCCCCCCCCCCACCCCCCATGCATTCCTTGTGAGGAGCTGGTCTCTGGCAAGGGCTTGGCTATGAAGAA